CATAAACATGATCTGTTTTTCCCATCTTCTGGCTGTGGCTCATCTTTCAACGTGTGTGGGGTCTGGACTCCCAGAGAGAAAGGATCTATGTCCCAGGGCCACATAGCAGAAACCGTTAGCCTCTGACATGCAGTCCCACTTTGGGATCGTGTGCTTGCCCTCAGACCTTCTCACTTTGACCCTGGAGATAGGCAGAGTGCGGTCAGGGTCCTCAGGCCTGGTGGTGTCACACGGACTTTGTGCTCCGAGAGGGGAGCCAACAGGCAAGGCATAGCGTGTTCTCCCTCAGTCACGCCTGCTAACCCGTGGCCTGAGCCCACAGCTTCCCAACGAGACACCCTCCTGTCCCACCAGTGGCTGAGAGAGTGCATGTCAGGAGGGGCTGTGTTTCCTGCCTGCCAGAGGACGTGACTGTGTCAGAGCACACCCAACCCTGCTCTCGGGCCTGAAAACACACGTGTTGGTGGGAAACCGGCACCCACTCCTGTCAGATGTGCTCTGGCCCACTGGGGGACCACACAGGCTTTAGCAGAGGGCAAAGAACGGTCGTTCCGTGTAAGGTCCCTTTAACTGCCAGATTTAAAACAAACTTGGGTGAATTGAAATAGAGAAAACGTCTGGGCTTCTGAGAGTGTGAGATCTTTTGAAGTGATGGGCTGTCTCCCTTCCCTAGAGAAGACTTTGCCATTTTATACTGCCTTTCCTTTGGCGGGTCGTTTGCTTTTGTAGTTAGGATTTGATCCTGTCTCTTCAATATTTTTCTTTCTTTGTATCATTTAAAATGTAGGCAGTGCAAGGGGCCATGCAATTCCCCGTAAAGAGCAGTACCCTGTAAATCACTAGCTTCGGAATTCCGTCTGCCCTGACAGCGGACTCTGGCCGACCGCGGTGCTCACACATTCCTTCCTGTAATTCCGACGTCTGCCCCACTTTTTCTCTTGCTCATTACAGCGGTTTTTCTCTCAAATCCTTGATCGGACTTCAGATTGGAACCAGCCATTTTGCCTGATGTTCTCAAGGGGTTACCAATTCCGTCTGGCAGCGAACTCAGCTGAGGAACATATTTGCAGTGCGGTTGCAACACTCAGAAAGCAACCCGCTCCGGCTTTGCTGGCATTGGGAATTACCCTGGCTCAGAAAGTCCTGCCCACATACATCCATTTGGTTCTTTAGACACGGAAGGAAGCTCCCCTTACCCATTGATCAAATCTAAACATGATAAACCCTGATAAGACAAGCTCCCCCACGAGAGGGCATTTTGCTTTCTTTGCTCCATCTGCGACATTGACCGGACTTGTATCATGGCCCCTCATCCAAAGGATCGGGTCTCACTCCATCTGAGCTTGTAGAAAAGGGGTGAAGGAGGGAACCAGCAGTTAGCATAATGGCTATGTTGCTGGACTCCCACATGGTCGATCGCGGTTTGCATCCTGGACCCGGAGGCTTAAAACTCACGCCAGGCGCGTGTGTGTGCATGCCCAAGATCCCGAATGGAGAATGGAGGAGAAGGGATTGTGGTGTGGCCATCCCCGCTGGGGGAGTGATTTCTCGCTTTCTGTCTCTATGTCTCTCTCTGTCTGGCGAGTGCACGCGCCCTATAGTGGAAAAAAAACCTCTCCAAAAAAAAGAAAGAAAGAAAGAAAGAAAGAAGAAAGAAAGAAAGAAAAGGGGTGAAGGAGGCCAAGCATTGTGTGAGAGGAATAAAACCTCAGTGTGGATTTTTATTTTAAAGATGTGACCATCTTGGGATTGCTACTCTTCTGTTATATGGTGTCATGAGAACATCTCACCCTTTGAATGAGTTCTCCATAGTGTATTAAGATTTTAAAGGACCAGCAGATGGTAAAATAGTTACTTAGCTGGACTCCCATGTAGTCAACCACGGTTCAAGTCCTGGACCCAGCGACTTAAAACTCACACCATGTACATGCGTGTCTAAGATCCTGGGAAGGGAATGGAGGAGAAGGGATTACAGCATGGCCATCTCCCCAGGGGGTGATTTCTTGCTTTCTGTCTATCTATCTCTGTCTCTCCATCGAGTGCATGCACCCTATAGCAAAAATCTCTCTCAAAACAAAACAAAACAAAAATTCATGCCAGGTACATGCGTGTGCATGCCCCGAATCCCAAGAGGAGAATGGAGGAGAAGGGAGTGTGGCATGGCCATCCCCCCTGGGGGGTGATTTCTCATTTTCTGTCTCTCTGGCACATGCACATCCCCCATAGAAAAAATCCCACCCACACAAAACGATTTTAAAAGTGGTGGTAATTCTAGATGAAATTTTGATCATCATATGGAAAACCGTAGATTATCATTTGAAATTTTAATATTGCATCATGTCAGCAAGCTTCTTTGTTGTCTCTTTCAGTAAATGACTTATTTTCTGAGGAATATAATCATAGAGGTCATGGTTGCTTCTTGTTTTAAAGTGAATGAATAAATTTTAATAATTGTGTTTAATATTTGGGAAAACGCTTTCCCTTTTCAGAAGCTGATAGTCACTCATTCTTTACCTTTAGGACCTTTCAAGATCATTGGGACAGTTAATTATTTATAATTATAAACCAACATGAAGCCTTTGGCTGATAACCTTTTTAAGTTAGGGAATGCTCACGGTTATTTTCTTAGGATTTGTTTTTAAATCTTGCTCCTACACATCCTGTTCTAAATGGCAAAATAGGCATTGGCTTTCCTTATGGAAAGCTACCTGTTCTCTGAGTGGCTGTCTCTCGGTGCCGTTTTCAGCTGCTTTCAGCCTCCCTGATGCTTGGGCCTGAGCTGAAACCCCATCAGACATATCTGGTATCTGGTGCTGCCATCTGGTGTTTTCTTTTCATGTCTTCTACACAATCAAGCATACAAGGGGACTCCAGAAAGTTCCTGGGAAACGCAAAGGAAACTATGAGTTTATTTTCACGCAAACAACTTTTGAAATCTCTGCATAGTTTTTTTCAAAATACACACTTACCGTGAACTTTTTGAAGGCCCCTCATGTTATTACCCTTCCTCTCTTTATGTTTTCTCCAGATATATTTGAAAAGGTGCCCTTGTCATCTAAATTCCAATTGCTTAGGACTAAAGGTATAGATCTGACTTAATATTCTAAATTCGGGGACCCAGCTAAATATCTTATTTCCGTTTATTTATTTATGAAAGAGAGAAAGACAAGCGCCCTTAACAGGTCCTCATGTGGCAGTCCTCCTCCTCAAGCCTTCCCAGCCAACCAGGATCAAAGGCATGCACGTGTCCACCCAGTGTGGACAGCTGACTTGGGAACCAAACCTCTACCTTCCATAAGCTGTTCTACCATTGCTGTGCCACTGTGGCTGGGCCTGTAACTCATTCTTCAAAGGCAAAATTCTCAGTGGGAAGGTCACAACCAAAAGACCCAAGACAGGCTGGATAGTCTCACGTTTTCAAATTTTGTGTATGTGCATGTGTGTATCTGTTAGGGCAGAAGAAGTTGGAGTTGAGTGGGAGGCGTGGAAGAAAGAGAACTGACTTTCATAGCAAACCTTTATGTCTTAGTTCATTTGTGCTGCTATAACAAAATATGCCAGAGTGGGTAATTTATAAAGAGCAGAAAGAGATTTCTTCTGGTTCTGGAAGCTGGGAAGTCCAATAGCACATCAAGATTAGTGTCCAGTGAGGGCTGTCCCTTCCTCCGGGATGGCACTCTGTCACTGCATCTTCCAGAGGGGAGGAATGTGGTGTCCTCACATGGCAGAGGGGACAAAGGATACTCCCTTCCCCTTGAGCTTTTCTGTAAGGGTGCCGATTTCATTCATTAGGATGCAGTGTCTGTGACTTAATCTCCCAAAGGCCATAGCTCCAAGTACTGTCTCATTCGGGATAAGTCAAAATCAAAATGCTTATAAGATATTTAAATTAGGCAGGATATGTGAGTCTGGATCTCAAAAAGGGGATGGGGCTAGAATATACATTGTTGCATTAACACCTTCCAAGCAGTCAGAATGAGCACTGGGTTAGAAAGGTAGACTCAGGGCGGAGTCCTAGATATTGTAATAGTTGAGGGCTGGAGAATGAGCACGTGGACAAACGCCTGGAGAGCATGGTGCCATGGAAGCTGAAATGAGAGGAAACGTCAGAAGTAAGGATGTGAAGAAGAGTGTGCCACGCTGAAAGATTGAGTAGAATGAGGACGAAAATATCTATTCAGTTCAGCAATGTGGACTTGGCTGCTCACCTTGGAAAGAATACAACCGTGCAGTGGGGGTTGCAGCCTACGGTGATAGAGGTGGGATGCATTGGAAAAGATTAGTTTCAAAGACCCTGAGGGAGAGATGGTGGGTTCCCTAGAAATAGAGATGCTGGACTAAGAGAGATTTCATTAAAAGATGGGTACTTCTAGACTATATTCGAATTCCTAGGATAACGATTCAATGGAGAGGAAGAGGCTGAAGAAGCAGGAGAGGCGATGGGGGAGAAAGCAAGCCCTGGAGGAGAACGGCACCAGGGGATCAGCAGCATGTGTGGGGGAGGGTCTTTAATGGGAGGCCCATGTTTGTTTTGGAAGGATGGTGAATGTGGATGCATGTGAGTCTGTAGGTTGGCAGTGGGAAGCTGAAGGAGCCCTGATGTGTTAACTTTTATATTTTCTCTATGTAATACCAGGCAAACTTTCCAGACTATCGGATTAAAAAGAAAGGTAGAAAGAGAGGAAAAACACAAGATCATTTTAAGAGCATTCTTAGTCTTTTATCTCTTCATACCTTCTGTTAAAGTCATTTCCTGAAATCAAAACTAAGGCTTCTAGAGCCACTTGCCTCTGTGATCTCGAAACAAAAGAATGCCTTGTAACTTTCGGGAGGTAGCAGTGAAAACACGCAGGAGGACCCTACTCGGGGCTGTTGGCCTTTTAACTATCTTCGGTGGCCCCAGATGACCTGCTCCTCAGCTGTGCTGATGTCACGAAGGCAGCCTCGACCTCACAAACTGCCCCTTGATGATGCTAGCAGCCGGCCCACCCTGTCCAACTCCTGGGCCTCCCCTCCCCTTTCCTTCGTGCCAGCCATGCCAGCGTATCAGGGCAGCATTCCCGGGTGCCATGGCTCTCAGGGGGACGAAGCACGACATTAAGGTAATGGGACCAGGTCTCTTCTACACGGCTGATCCTATAAGCCAGACCCAAAGGACCTGGGTTCCTGTGGCATGTGTGGACTGTGGGGCTATTGACCGTCGGGAGGAGCTACGGACGTTAGAGAATGGCATCGTCGGTGAGATTGGTGTATAGCCTCCTAAGGTGGAAATGTGAGGGATAAGGGTCACCTGGAGTTAATGATGGTGTAACATAATTATTTAAAAATAAATCCACCTCAGTTGATACTTACACATCACATATAGGTGAGTAGAAAGACCACAGTAGATACTGCTGCTGCTTCTCAGAGCCCAAAGCCCAGAGTAAAACTAAATGGTCTTGGGATGAGTGGAGCAAAAATAAATGGTCTTGAGGCCAGCAGGTGACATGGTGGTTAGGGTGCTGGACTCCCACATATGGCTGATTGCAGTTTGAGTCCCAGACCTGCTGACTTGCTTTCTCACTTTTTCTCTCTCTCATGAGCACACATGATTAAAACTATAATAATGATAATAATAAAAATAATAATAAAAACTTAAATGAATGATTCTTTAAAATAAACAAATGGGCTCCCATATGTGGCTTTCTGCTTCTCTACAAAGACAAATACTGATTATAATGGTGAGAGGAGAGGATCTCATATTAAAACACAAATATTAAAATTCAAATATCTTTAGGCCCAAAATGAACACAAACTACAACACAGACATACTCTCAAATGTTTATCTAGCTTAAATGACCTCGTATGTCTTCAGTATCCGGCTTCTGCCCAGCGCCCCAGCCCCGTCTCCAGCGCCAAGCACACATCCACGCAGTTTCTCAGCGATGGTGGCTTGGTAAATCCTTCCATCATGCCTGAATGGATAGACATGGTTCGTAGGAATCTAAATTCCAAGGTTAACTAATAAGTGTCTCCTCAGATACTTAGAGCCCCACCAAACAGCACGACACACCCTGGCAGGGTCCTTATTGAAGAAGCTGAACAATCTCACGGTTCAGTGGGGGTGCAGGCTCTGCTTGACGAACAGGTGAAGGACTGAGAGTATTTCCCCAGGTCTCCGCCTCTTGCTTATTGTTTGTCTGTGCGTTGGGTCTTCTCCTCATGTGCCTTTTCTCTCTGTAACATTTACCTCTGAGAGGCTGTCTCACATATAAATAAATGTCCTACAAGTTGAAGACAGGCCTACCTAGTAAGTCCAGGAAATCTATCTTTCCAATATTCCTGTTCCAAGCACCTGCTCTGATGCCGTGGTCCTGGCTCTAAACTCCCTGAGTCCCACTTACTTCTTTAAGCGAAGAAGGTGAAGACACAAAGTTACCACCGGCCTTCCCTTAAAGCTTCCAGTTGGAGACAAAGGGAGAGATAAGGCGGGATTGAGGTCCACAACTTGAACAGGAAATAAAAGAAAAAGTTGAAAAATTCTTTCTGGTCCGTTAAAGGGATTGGTTCTCTCTTCTTTGGAAATCTTCCCTTGGCTTCTCCCCTGAGCTGGTTTCCCTTGAGCATGTGAGCTGTGGACGAATCAGGCCCTGGGAATGGCCCAGCGGTCAAGTCCAAGTTCAGGCCAGATGGCGTCTGCCTTTCCTTTCGTCTCTCCACTGCGGAAGCTGACTGGGTTGAGTGGCTATCTCAGTCTGTGGCTTTTTCCTGTCATTCCCTCATTGGTCCCTTGCTTCATTTTTCCCTGTCACCTAGAGGTCACCTGACCCTGAGAGCCAGACTTGCTGCCAAACGGATGAGTGTAGGAACCAAACCAAATGACAACACATTCCTCATCCATTTTCTTTAAGCAAAGGCATTTCTGGAGGGAATTTGGCCAGAGAGTCAAACAATACCTTAACCACTTCACCTGCCAACCAGTGTCCTTATAAGGAGTCAGAAAATGATAATACTTAAAATTTTTATTTATTATCACTATTTAATTTATTTTTTTGAAGTTGACCAGAGAGAGACAGAGAGAGAAAAAGAAAGTGAGAAAGCAAGCTGCCAGGTCTGGGATCGAACTATGGCCCACTAGGTGGGAATCCAGCCGCCTCAACCACCACGCTGCTACCTGCTGGCCCCAGAAAATGATCATTTTAACTCAAATGTGAAAAGGAAAACAAACAAACAAACAAACAAACAAACAGAACACCCTATTTCTTTTAGAAACATAGATTCCCATTTGGAATTAATTCTTTGACCTATATTTTCAGCCTTATATCTTATGATAAATAAATAACTAAAACGTCAAGCATATATTCAATATGTTAGTAGTTCTTTTTTAAAAATCTGGTACATGGAGATACTTGAATATTAACAGCACTTACAAATGAATCAGTAAGTCTTTCTTATTGTTAAAAGGGACAAAATAAAACTCCAAATCATAACTAACAGGCTGTCTCACAGATCGCCAATAGAGAGGCTGGGGTGGAAAAGTCCTTTACGTGACATCCAGAGATTTCCAAAAACAATTTAATTTCAAACAACGATCCTTCCAGATGTGACATTTGGGGAGAATTGCTAGAAGAAGCCAGAAGTAAATGTGAAATACCAGTGGTTTCTGACAGTCGCATTCTGCAATTGTCGAGGTTAGGGATTGCACTCTGCAGTCTCGCCTCTGTATTAAAATACTACCTATACTTGTCTGCATGTGTAGCACACGCCCGCAGGAATGGAAACTTAACCGGACACATTTGGCTTCAGACAAGATGGCTGAAATGGTGTTTTAAATGGCTGCAAGCAAAAATCTGACTTTGGGAAATGAGCCTTTGGTGACGTGGCCTCATATTCTGACCTCCTCTTCCTTTTAGCACCTCTGTACCCTCACCAGACTTCTCAACCTCTAATCCATAATATTGCTGGAAGGAGGTTGGGAGAATCTGCTAAACTCCTTCACTGATAAAAATGTCTCTCTAGGACTTTGTATTCTTTTTATAAAAAATATTTATTTATTATTAATTTGCTATAGGGCATGTGTGTTCACTGGAGAGAGACAGAGGGAGAGTGAGAGGGAAAGTGAGAAAGTAAGGTGCCAGGTCTGGGATTCGAACCACAGTCAACCATGTGAGAGTCCAGCACCTTCATCATCATCCTACCTGCTGGCCCCAGGACTTTGCATTCTGATAGTGGATCTGGGGCTAAGGGAATGTTTGAACCAAAGGAATGAACTTTTGAGGTAGTCGAGAGCAGAGCGGTTGTTTTGCTGGTTTCTCTCGTCTCTTGCAATGGCTGCTTCTGTGGACACGTGAGGCCAAGCGAGGTTCTCCACTGAGCCCTGCAGACCATGTCCTCCTCAGGTTCCAGAGAGCAGTTGGAACCACACTGACCTGGATTATTGGTTCTCTCTTCTTTGGAAATCTTCCCTTGGCTTCTCCCCTGAGCTGGTTTCCCTTGAGCATGTGAGCTGTGGACGAATCAGGCCCTGGGAATGGCCCAGCGGTCAAGTCCAAGTTCAGGCCAGATGGCGTCTGCCTTTCCTTTCGTCTCTCCACTGCGGAAGCTGACTGGGTTGAGTGGCTATCTCAGTCTGTGGCTTTTTCCTGTCATTCCCTCATTGGTCCCTTGCTTCATTTTTCCCTGTCACCTAGAGGTCACCTGACCCTGAGAGCCAGACTTGCTGCCAAACGGATGAGTGTAGGAACCAAACCAAATGACAACACATTCCTCATCCATTTTCTTTAAGCAAAGGCATTTCTGGAGGGAATTTGGCCAGAGAGTCAAACAATACCTTAACCACTTCACCTGCCAACCAGTGTCCTTATAAGGAGTCAGAAAATGATAATACTTAAAATTTTTATTTATTATCACTATTTAATTTATTTTTTTGAAGTTGACCAGAGAGAGACAGAGAGAGAAAAAGAAAGTGAGAAAGCAAGCTGCCAGGTCTGGGATCGAACTATGGCCCACTAGGTGGGAATCCAGCCGCCTCAACCACCACGCTGCTACCTGCTGGCCCCAGAAAATGATCATTTTAACTCAAATGTGAAAAGGAAAACAAACAAACAAACAAACAAACAAACAGAACACCCTATTTCTTTTAGAAACATAGATTCCCATTTGGAATTAATTCTTTGACCTATATTTTCAGCCTTATATCTTATGATAAATAAATAACTAAAACGTCAAGCATATATTCAATATGTTAGTAGTTCTTTTTTAAAAATCTGGTACATGGAGATACTTGAATATTAACAGCACTTACAAATGAATCAGTAAGTCTTTCTTATTGTTAAAAGGGACAAAATAAAACTCCAAATCATAACTAACAGGCTGTCTCACAGATCGCCAATAGAGAGGCTGGGGTGGAAAAGTCCTTTACGTGACATCCAGAGATTTCCAAAAACAATTTAATTTCAAACAACGATCCTTCCAGATGTGACATTTGGGGAGAATTGCTAGAAGAAGCCAGAAGTAAATGTGAAATACCAGTGGTTTCTGACAGTCGCATTCTGCAATTGTCGAGGTTAGGGATTGCACTCTGCAGTCTCGCCTCTGTATTAAAATACTACCTATACTTGTCTGCATGTGTAGCACACGCCCGCAGGAATGGAAACTTAACCGGACACATTTGGCTTCAGACAAGATGGCTGAAATGGTGTTTTAAATGGCTGCAAGCAAAAATCTGACTTTGGGAAATGAGCCTTTGGTGACGTGGCCTCATATTCTGACCTCCTCTTCCTTTTAGCACCTCTGTACCCTCACCAGACTTCTCAACCTCTAATCCATAATATTGCTGGAAGGAGGTTGGGAGAATCTGCTAAACTCCTTCACTGATAAAAATGTCTCTCTAGGACTTTGTATTCTTTTTATAAAAAATATTTATTTATTATTAATTTGCTATAGGGCATGTGTGTTCACTGGAGAGAGACAGAGGGAGAGTGAGAGGGAAAGTGAGAAAGTAAGGTGCCAGGTCTGGGATTCGAACCACAGTCAACCATGTGAGAGTCCAGCACCTTCATCATCATCCTACCTGCTGGCCCCAGGACTTTGCATTCTGATAGTGGATCTGGGGCTAAGGGAA